AAAAATATATATATATATATATATATATATAGGATCATGATATACTAAGTTAAAAGCTGTTCCAATGTAAAGGAGAACCTAAATATCGTTCAATTAAATTACCTCTTAAAACAAAAGTTCAAAGGAGAGATCAGGGAGTTATAATGACTGGAGTATTTTGTGCCACGTATGTTGGAATGCGTTTTGTGTTCCCGTAATAATTGAAACATGTTTTTCTACTTTTTAATTGCATCTAACCTGATTAATGTATTCTATTGAGGATGGTCGAACATTTTTGTACTTACAAGAGTAAATGTAAAATCTACCAAGTACTAAACAATGATTGAATAACAAGGCATTCAACATAAAGTTAAAACTTGTGAGGCTGGTATTAAATCAACAGAGACGAAAAATTGTTGAATGCTATTCCAAAAGGCTTCTGTGATCAGGCATTCCCAGAAAAGATGAAGCAATGTTTCTTGTGCTGTTTGACAAAAACAACAAAGATTTGATTCCGAAAATTTAATTTTGAATAGAAAAGAGTTTGTAGCTATTCTCCTGTGCAGAAATTTGAACTGAAAGTTCCTTAATTTCGTGCTTAATGTACATATCCTAGGTAGTAGATAAATTGACTCCCAGTCCAAATTTTCCAAACCTAACCCTAAAACCTGTAACGCCACCTCCTAGATATAAAACATATGTGTACGTGCACATACACTATATTGAGCATCCCTGAAAAGTGTTTTTCAGCATCAATATTAAAATACAGAAAACAAACAATTAATGCCAGAAAAACTGGGTACAATTATATTGTTCACATCCCTATCTTAACATCACAAATTAATTCACCAATTAAAAGTGTCTTAAAAACTTTCACGTCTGTTATTTGCTTCAAACCCTCATTTAGGTCTTTCAATATTTTTACTCCCTGGTAATAAAAGGCATGCTGACCAGCAGCAATTATATTCTTTAAGATGGAATATTAAGGCTGCCCCCGTCTGTCTAGGTCTGTCCTGGATAGTAGACCAAGTACAAATTTATCTGACAAATAAAGTCTATTAAGACATTTACATTTGTATGGATTGCATATTAACTGCATCAATGACAAAAAGTCTTTGCTTGACATTACACTTGCTAGTTTCAGTGTTATGTGCATAGGCGATATCTCTCAACCATCTTTTGACATGCCATCTCTCGACGTGCTTGTAAACGGCTAAAAGACTGTTTAACTGTTAAAATGGCACTTTTTCCAGTTATTAGTAGAGGAAATGACAAATAAATGATAATTACTGACCTCAAATCCCTGAAGATGATTGTGCACTTTGAATGTTTCCCAATTTGAGTGTAGTCGATTGGCTCCCAATTTTGACTTCCGGTAGAATTGGGCCACTACCACTTTTAACATTCAAAAGATGTTAACATTCAAAACAGTCGATTTATCTCTCACAGGACGAATTCTTGATGCTCCTAGCCTTATTCATTACGAAAAGTCGAGTTCGACCCTAAAGTTATCCGTTAGGCTTACATTTTTTATGTAGGCCAGGTTACATAGCATGTAGAGGGATGGCGTGCCAAAAGATGTCACCTATCCACGTAAAACTGATAGCAGGTGTAAATTTAGCCAACCAAATGATCTTAAACCTATTGAGATACATGTATGATCACATTTTTCGCAGCCCCAAACAATCAGGCTGCAAAATTTTGAACAAGCTGAGCGTTATAGATGTTAGTCATAAAATGATGGGATGCTAGTCTGTTGCGGGGTTACCTCCCGCATTGAATTCACATAGTTGTAGACCTGGGTCACAGGACAGAGGCACTGTGAGAGTAAAAGCTGTTGTCCGAGAACAAACCAAAGACTGCTTGATGTGCAGTCCAGTGCAATAACCATCAGACCACAGTGTCTCTTCAATTTCCACAATAACAAGTTATAAACTAAATAGCATGAAGCTAAATGGTTAAGGAAACACTGATAAATACATTGGAAGGAAATTTGATTTGGGTCCCTCCTCCTACAAATAAGCATTCATCAACAACGGTACCCCAGGCACAGCTACATGTAGGTTATTTGGTCACAGACATGTAACAAAGCTGAACAACAGTGAAACAACCACTTCCCTGTTTGTTTCATTTTTGCCTGCATTATGTGTTGACTATTCCTAGATCAGGTTACAAAAGTAATTATACTTATTATTAAAATAATAACAACTCTAATCAAACACAGAGAAATCGCATGATCGACTCACCTTATGAGGGATCTAATTCTCAAAGTGAATTGTTTTTCCATACAATTCTCAGCACATAGACTTTATTGATGCTTCTCTGTTTTCTATCTTGTAACAAATAAGAAAGGTCTTAAAAGCATTCAAGCCTTGTACAATTAAGCACTGAAAAAACTGCAAATTGAAACAAGAGGCACCTGTCTTAAGATAAATGGTAGAAAAACAGGACTGGGGAAACTTTGTTTATAGCATGCAGAATGATAGCAACCACTACCCAAAAATGAATG